GTTGGTTTGTCGCGTCGCTCGCAGAGCGAATCAACGCGTGCTGCGTTTGCGGCACCGCCTCCAGAGGGAGCGCGAGCAATCCATTGTTGAGGACGTCCGACGCGAAATAGCAGCAATAACCGAACGGAGGGCAAAGACGAGCGCGCAGGCAACACCTGGCGCGATGGGGTTACCGGAGAAGGCCGCAAACGCAGGTCGCGAAGGGCTCGCGCGAGTGGCAAGTGGCGCGGGCGGCCCGCACAAGTTGCCTCCCGCGTGCGGACCCCAAGAGAACACGGACGACACATTCCACTACACGTGCCCGTTTTGTGAGGCTGCCGTCAGCAGCATTGTGCGTTCTGGCCAAGTAGATCACCGCAGGCATTGCGGTAAGCGATTTCAGGTCAAAGATGGATGCGTCGTGACAAAGAAGATGGTGTACCAGTGCCCGTTTTGCGATGGCGAAGTGAGCAGCAACGTGATGACCGGGCAAGTCAACCATGGCAGCGTGTGCGGCAACCGATTTCAGGTCAAAGATGGATGCGTCGTGACAAAGAAGATGGTGTACCAGTGCCCGTTTTGCGATGGCAAAGTGAGCAGCAACGTGATGACCGGGCAAATCAACCACGGCAGCGTGTGCAGCAGCTGGTTCTATGTTAAGAATGGCAAAGTCAGCGATGCAACGCGAAAACATATGCACATAATATGCCCGCGGTGCCAAGCCGCCGTGTGGTCAGCCAGCGCGTCGGGGCGAATCCGCGTGCAGCACAACACACCAGCGGGACGCCCGTGCACACAGAAGAGCTGGAAGAGCGAGAAAAAGAAAGAAGCATAGGCTAGGACATGCTGCTGGGCCGCCAAGGGCCGCGAGGGAGATGACGATGGAATCTATGAAACAGTGGTTTGCTCCGTGGGAACTAGCTGCATGGACAGTGCGGCCTTGTTTGTGTAGGTCAGCCAGTGCTGCTGTGTTAGTTCTATGGTCTCGCGGTGCGTTCTCTTCCGCCAGTATTCTGTCGAACCTCCCCGCAATGACATCGCACATGGCTGCTGTCATGTTTTAAGGCCAGCCTAGTGCCTAACGTTGCTTTCTGAAACCAGAAGAAAATCTCCAGGAAAGCGCCCGGCAGGTGGCCGAAGGACATGCTGCTGGGCCGCCAAGGGCGCCGGGAAAAAGGTTTAAGGGCAGCCTAGGGCGTCGGGACACGTTTAAGACGTTTAAGGGCAGCCTAGTTCCTAACGTTGCTTTCTGAAACCAGAAGAAAATCTCCAGGAAAGCGCCCGGCAGGTGGCCAAAGGACATGCGGCCCAAGGGCGCCGGGAAAAAGGTTTAAGGGCAGCCTAGGGCGTCGGGACACGTTTAAGACGTTTAAGGGCAGCCTAGTGCCTAACGTTGCTTTCTGAAACCAGAAGAAAATCTCCAGGAAAGCGCCTGGCAGGTGGCCAAAGGACATGCTGCTGGGCCGCCAAGGGCGCCGGGAAAAAGGTTTTTAAGGACACGTTTAAGACGTTTAAGGGCAGCCTAGTGCCTAACGTTGCTTTCTGAAACCAGAAGAAAATCTCCAGAAAGCGCCCGGCAGGTGGCCAAAGGACATGCTGCTGGGCCGCCAAGCAGGAAAGCGCCCGGCAGGTGGCCAAAGGACATGCTGCTGGGCCGCCAAGGGCGCCGGGAAAAAGGTTTAAGGGCAGCCTAGGGCGTCGGGACACGTTTAAGACGTTTAAGGGCAGCCTAGTGCCTAACGTTGCTTTCTGAAACCAGAAGAAAATCTCCAGGAAAGCGCCTGGCAGGTGGCCAAAGGACATGCTGCTGGGCCGCCAAGGGCGCCGGGAAAAAGGTTTAAGGGCAGCCTAGGGCGTCGGGACACGTTTAAGACGTTTAAGGGCAGCCTAGTGCCTAACGTTGCTTTCTGAAACCAGAAGAAAATCTCCAGGAAAGCGCCCGGCAGGTGGCCAAAGGACATGCTGCTGGGCCGCCAAGGGCGCCGGGAAAAAGGTTTAAGGGCAGCCTAGGGCGTCGGGACACGTTTAAGACGTTTAAGGGCAGCCTAGTGCCTAACGTTGCTTTCTGAAACCAGAAGAAAATCTCCAGGAAAGCGCCCGGCAGGTGGCCAAAGGACATGCTGCTGGGCCGCCAAGGGCGCCGGGAAAAAGGTTTAAGGGCAGCCTAGGGCGTCGGGACACGTTTAAGACGTTTAAGGGCAGCCTAGTGCCTAACGTTGCTTTCTGAAACCAGAAGAAAATCTCCAGGAAAGCGCCCGGCAGGTGGCCAAAGGACATGCTGCTGGGCCGCCAAGCAGGAAAAAGGCAGGTGGCCAAAGGACATGCTGCTGGGCCGCCAAGGGCGCCGGGAAAAAGGTTTAAGGGCAGCCTAGGGCGTCGGGACACGTTTAAGACGTTTAAGGGCAGCCTAGTGCCTAACGTTGCTTTCTGAAACCAGAAGAAAATCTCCAGGAAAGCGCCCGGCAGGTGGCCAAAGGACATGCTGCTGGGCCGCCAAGGGCGCCGGGAAAAAGGTTTAAGGGCAGCTAGGGCGTCGGGACACGTTTAAGACGTTTAAGGGCAGCCTAGTGCCTAACGTTGCTTTCTGAAACCAGAAGAAAATCTCCAGGAAAGCGCCCGGCAGGTGCCCAAAGGACATGCTGCTGGGCCGCCAAGCAGGAAAGCGCCCGGCAGGTGGCCAAAGGACATGCTGCTGGGCCGCCAAGGGCGCCGGGAAAAAGGTTTAAGGGCAGCCTAGGGCGTCGGGACACGTTTAAGACGTTTAAGGGCAGCCTAGTGCCTAACGTTGCTTTCTGAAACCAGAAGAAAATCTCCAGGAAAGCGCCTGGCAGGTGGCCAAAGGACATGCTGCTGGGCCGCCAAGGGCGCCGGGAAAAAGGTTTAAGGGCAGCCTAGGGCGTCGGGACACGTTTAAGACGTTTAAGGGCAGCCTAGTGCCTAACGTTGCTTTCTGAAACCAGAAGAAAATCTCCAGGAAAGCGCCCGGCAGGTGCCCAAAGGACATGCTGCTGGGCCGCCAAGGCGCCGGGAAAAAGGTTTAAGCCAAGGTACTGCCTAACGTCGCTGTCTGAAGGCACTAGAAAAACTCTATGCCAGAACCCGACAGATGGCCAAAAGCGCCGGCAAAGGCGCTGCGGAGCGTTTGAAGCCAGGGTAGTGCCTAACGTCGCTTTCTGAAGGCACTAGAAAAGCTCGGAAAAGGCCCGACAGATGGGCAAAAGCGCCGGCAAGGGCCCTGCGGAGCGTTTGAGGCCAGGGTAGTGCCTAACGTCGCTTTCTGAAGGCACTAGAAAAGCTCTAGGCAAAGGCCCGACAGATGGCCAAAAGCGCCGGCAAGGGCGCTGCGGAGCGTTTGAAGCCAGGGTACTGCCTAACGTCGCTTTCTGAAGGCATTAGAAAAGCTCTAGGCAAAGGCCCGACAGATGGGCAAAAATGTCGGCAAGGGCGCTGCGGAGCGTTTGAAGCCAGGGTACTGCCTAACGTCGTTTTCTGAAGGCATGAGAAAAGCTCTAGGCAAAGGCCCGGCAGATGGCCACCGTCGTGCGCCGCTTTCTGAAGGCATTAGAAAAGCTCTAGGCAAAGGCCCGACAGATGGGCAAAAACGCTGGCAAGGGCGCTGCGGAGCGTTTGAAGCCAAGGTACTGCCTAACGTCGCTTTCTGCAGGCAGTACAAAAAATCTACGCAAAGGCCAGTGGAATGCCTCTAACTGTCGCTCTACAGCGCCAAAAAATAAGTTTCAGCACTCATGTGAGCACTCCTCTTTTGAGACATCTGCATATGTTTTCCTCCGGTCACCCAGACATGTCAGAACATCCAACAAGAATTACGCACCACAGGAAATCCATAGAAACGAGCTCCAAACCTTGGAATTAGCCAGCCCTGCGGCTACCTGCTCGCAGCACCAAAACACCGTGGCAGCCAAGGACCTAGCAACAACATTTCTTCTCGGGCGCGCTCCCCCTGCAGTTTGCTGGGGTCGGCGGATATTGTAATACTGGGAGAAAGATTTGGCCATTGGACGTCGTTACAATATTTTGGGCCCCAAAAACATGATGAATAGTTGTAATTATCAACTTATTTCTTTAGTAAATTAAGTTAATTTATCCAGATATACTGGGTGCGTCCCACTTAAATTTAAATGGATGTAAATGGCTAGAAAAAAACCCAGTCAAGTCGCGGGATGGTTGGATCCGTTCTGCTGGTTGCTTTCTGTTAAAAGACAGGGACGATTCCCCATTGATCATGGGATAGTGATATAAGATTATATATGATATAGTTGGTCATGGAAATTATATCATGTTTTTTTTCTCCGTTTTTTTCTTTTAAAGTTTATGTATTTGATGGTATCTCTTGATTTATGTATTTGTTGATCTACTGTACTGTATCCGTATCTGGATGAATCACAAGCTTGTGACGTCGGAATGTGGTTGGGATTCGCGAAATCATGGGGAATTTCCAAGCAAACGGCCGCAAGTTTCAGCTATTCTGAGGTTAGATAATTTCTGCTTGGTGGTTTGGAACCATGGAATTTTATGACTTTCCATCATATTGGGAATAAGAACCCCAACTGACTTTCGCATATTTTTCAGAGGGGTAGGTCAACCACCAACCAGATATGTAGTGTGAATTACATGCCACGCTGCCAGGTCCGAGGGGATCGCCCTGGGATCTGCGCCGTTTGAAGGGATCGCTTTGAGATACGAAACGTCTGGGATGGGTCAAAATTGATGGATTGCCAGACATTGACCATCATTGACCTATAGGGTTTTTTCAGCCGTCTTTCTTCATCTTCATCACAATGTTTGGCAAATAATAGGGGGTTCTATGAAAGTTGATGGGACGTCATCAAGCAAAAATTGGCGCTTAATATATCTTAATGTGAAAGTTTGCCTGCAAACTGCATGACAGTGTAGTAAAGGTTTAATTAGGGTGGAGGGTGGGTCCTGCCGGAGTGATGGCCCAAATGCCGAGCTCCCAGGGATCAAAATTTTGATCTCGATTTGGGCCACCCGCTGTCGGCATGGCACTTCCTCCAGCTGCTACCGTGAGTGCGGTGACCGACGTGGCGGGCTTGATCGATTTGATGGGGATGCAGGACGGGGTCTGGCGAGGCTTTGTCGGTCAGGTGGGCGACCCTGGTACCAACATCGGCCACCTGGCTGCTTTACCAGCACAATTGATTTCAGCGGCCTGCTCCCATGCTACCATGCCTGACGGGAGCGCCTTTGTCCCCATTCATGCCTCTCAGGTGGGGCTAGTTTGGCGGGTGGCAAGGAAGCATGTGTTTTTAGCCAATGGCGGTTTGGAGGCAGACTTCCAAGACGTCGAACCTTGGGACTTCGTGCGGAATCCTGGACAAGCAGCAGCACCAGCAAGTCCACCAAAGGCATCAACAGTCAAGGAGAACGTGTTGAAGATGGCCAGCCTAGTGGATCAGACGGATGAATCTGAGCTGTTGCCGGCTAGCATGGACAAGGTGCAGGAGTGGACGCAGAGGTACATCACGTTGATGAGAGCACCTCCAGAAGAGGAGGAGGAGGCGACAGATGCCCAGCTTGCAGCACTCCACAAACGGACTGTGTTGCTGGGACACCCTCCTTACGTGGATTTCTCAGTTTGGACGCCGTTTGGAAGACGTTCACTTAGGTCCCAAAAGTTCAGGACTTATGTACCCCTTGGTGATGGCTCCTACATCATCAAGGAGCTGCCGGGCCCACAGAATTTGACTCAGTGGATGGCGTGCTGGAGGGTTTTCAAAGTGGCGGCATTGGCACTGGGCATAGTCAGCCTGGCAGCGTTGCAACAGTACGAGAAGGCCATTGAGAAGCTGACATTGCAATGGCCGTTGGCTTGGGGCTTGATAGTTTTGGCAGATGATAAAGGTCGTGCCGAACGCTTGGAGAAGATCAGGCGCAATGTCATGATCGACCAGCAGGCGGGCAGGGTGCTACCTTTGGATTGGGACGAACAAAACCCCTGGTCAGCCTGCTTCAAGTTGCTGGCCAAGGACGAGCAATATTGGTCAGAACAAGTTAGGCATCCTGCAGCAGCATGGACGGCGGCAGGGAGTCACGGAGTACCTGTAGCGCCGGCTGAAGCCATAGCTGCAACTCATGTGGTTGGGGGCTCTGACGTTTTGCAGGCGCCCAAGGAAGAAAAGGATGAGAGGAGACGACAAGCAAACAGAGACAAGCGGTCAGCTCGTAAGAAGAGACAATGGGAAGATCGAGAAGAGCTGCGCAAGTTGAAGAGCCAGAGATCAGACTCGGACAAGGGTCAGGGCAAAGGACAGAACCAAGGCAAGTGGAAGTCGAAAGATAAAACAGGAGCAGAAATATGCTTCTCATGGGTGCAGGCCAAAGGCACGTGCGCTGATGTACCCGTAGGAGGGGAGTGCCGGGGCAAAGTCCGTCGGGCACATAAGTGTCAACTCTGCCTGTCACCAGGCCATAACAACAGCAACTGCCCACAGAAGTGAGCAGCTGTGAGGCCAAAAGGTGCTGTCTTCTCACCCGGGTTTTTGCCTGGGGAATTCAGGGAGACGGGTTGGGCGGGGTCATAGTTGACATGTCTTCACATTTTGTCGGTTGCATTTCATTGGACAGGGTTTGAATTGAGTTGAAGTTTTATTTCATGACATGAAGTTTCATTTCATTGGTTCATGTTGACCGGCAGTGCATTGAATCTGAACCGACTTGAGGCTCAAGTCGCAGGGATGGAGGAGGACAACGTAGACTGGGACCCTGATGACGTCAGTGTCATCCAGGGCGAATGGCATCCTCAGGCGCTTGAGCTGCTGCAGTCGACGGGAGACTTTGCAAAGTATAAGGAGTCCCGAACCTTCAGGTTTGTGCACTTGTTCAGCGGGGCCAGGGACGTGCTGAAGCCGGCGTTGGAGAAGGCAGCATCCAAGGAGGGGTTGCGCATTAAGGTGGAGTCCTACGACAGGGACGGGCCGCAGAAGCAGAACCTGGCAGAGGACAGGCCGTACATGGACCTGCTGGAGACGGTCGACACCATTGATGGAATGCACGCCGGGTTTCCATGCGGAAGCTTCAGCATGGTGCGCAACAGGCCGGGGGGCCCACCGCCGGTAAGGAGCCGGGAGTTTCCCTATGGCCTCCCGACGAATGATGTCTTGCAGCAGAAGGAGGCTGACACCGGCACAGTTCTGGCAGTTCGGTCATCTATGTTGGCCTCCAAGGTGTTGGACAACCACCGCAAGAGGAAGGTGGGCGAGGTGGCAACATTAGAAAATCCACCGGGCTCAGAAGCCGGCCAAGACTGCCCTGCATGGCTTCTTCCAGAAATCGTGGACTTCCTGAAGGTTTATCAAGCACAAAATGCATTTTTCAACTCATGCATTTACATGCAGGGCAAGCACCGATGGCTCAAGCCAGCACGTTGGTCAGGTCGTCTGCAGGACCTTGAAGAGCTGGCGGGAAAGTGCGCCTGTCCATCATGGGTGGTCCACGAGATACTGAGGGGCAAGTACAAGACATCAGCTGCAGCAGAATACCCGGCAGCTCTGGCGGAGCGCTATGCCAACTTGGTCATCAAGGTCTTCAAGCAGAACCTGCAGTTGGAGTTCTGGAGGTACAAGCTGCAGACCAAGGAAGGCGAGGTGAACAAGCTGCAGAAGAACTGGGTGAAAAGTAGGGAGGCTAGAACGCCACCTCCCCCCAGCACGGAAGGAATGGCATCGTCATCGAAAAGAGCCTGGCAGGTCGGGGACATATCCAAGGACTTGATTCCCCGGCCAGATCTGATGTCCCACTTTTCGTCATGTCCCTTTGGTCATCCACCAACCCCACGCTCCGAATGCCTCAAATCAGCTTCGCACCTGGATGCGGTTGTGGGGAAGGCTCAGTGAGGCCGAGAGAAGACAGCATCATGACAACACTGTTGAGAATTCTAAGGATCTTCAAAAGCTTTGGAAGCGCATCCGCAGATGCCCTCTGTACCAAGCAGGAATGACTGCCAAGGATGCCGAAGCTGAGGTTCAGCGTCAAACCGATGCGAGCCGGCAGAGCAGACTTAGCAATTGGAAGGTTCGCTTGCAGCAAGATAACGCTCAGGTCTTTCGATGGGTGCGGTCCTCCGAATCGGCGCCCACTGTTACCTTGTATGACGACGAAGTCGATCCTGACGACCCAGCTAGCATGGACAGCTCTGGTGCCTTGGTCAAAATCGAATCCTTTTGGCAGAGAGCTTGGAACCGTGACAATAGCGATGCTTGGACTCCGCAGCAATATCTTCGTGAATATGGCGGGGCCCCTGAAGTCGAAGAAAATTGGAGCCCTGTTTCTGCACAGGCTCTTAGTGCCTCGGCTGCTAGACAAAGGCACCGAGCCGGGGGCCCTGACGGCTGGACTGGCAGCGAAATGGCAGCTTGGCCGTACAACATGTGGGCTGACCTGGAATTTGTGTTTCAAGCCTGGGAGCAACTGGGATGTTTCCCAAAGTGCTGGCACTTCATGACACAGGTGATGCTCCCCAAAGGAAACGGTCAAAGGCTCTCTGACAGCGCCACCCCGACCAGCAAACTTCGACCAATAAGCCTCATGTCGTGTTGGTGGAGAATTTATGTGAGTGCCCGCTTAGATGGGGACATCGAAAGACGTTGGTTGGAATCGCATTTGTTGACTACCCAGGCTGGAGGTAGGCGCAATCGAGACAGTCAAGGTAGCTTTTGTGAACTTGCTGAGGGATTTGCCAAAGGAGCCTATGTGGGATCATTAGATCTCTCCAAGTGCTTTGACCATGTGCGCCCGAGCTTGGCTTGTGATACTTTAGTTTGGAAAGGTTTTCCCCGAAAATTGGCGGCTGCTATTCAGAAAATTTGGGAAGGTCAATTGCGTATCCTTTCGTGGAACAAAGAAGTGTGCCCCCGAATCCAAGGTGTGTGTAGTAGCATCCCGCAAGGCGATAGTCTTTCGCCGAGAGTTCTCAATTTGATCATGAGTATGCCCATGCGTCATATTGTGCAACAAGAGCCTGACACTTGTCACGTCGTTTTTGTCGATGATAGATCTTGGTGTTCTCCCACCTTGCCTTCCTTTCTGAATGTTCTCCATCTTTGGCATGAACACTCGGCAAAGCTGGGATTCAAAGAAAACAAGCTTAAAAGTCAGTTCACTCACAGGCAGCCTACCAAGCGTCAAGATATGATGCAGTTAGAAGAGCTGTGCAATGGAGTGACTGAAAACCTTTTTGCCTTAGGCGCTGCTATGGGTTTTGGGTCCATGCTGCCTAAGGAACAAGGCCGCATTGAAAAGGCAATGGCTTGTGCTGCTAAGGTTCGTTTGGCTCCTATCTCAGCAGCTCGAAGATCGTTTGTTGGCGCACTTGCCGCAGGTAGCAAAGCAACTTACGGGTGGTTGGTCCGTGCTCCCCCTGGAACCGGGCTCATGTCTAAGTTGGAAACTCGTCTCCGAAGGGTGGGCTACTGCCATCGCATGTCCTCTCCTGCGCTCATTAGGCTGGTGATGGGTCACCCAGTGGACATTCAGTTTCAATCTGGTGCGGCGCTCATCGGTGCGGTTCATCGCACTGTTCGTCGGATCCGAAGAATCTTCAGTGATTGGGACCTCTCTGGAGGTCCGGCTCAGAGAGCCAAGAAATGGCTTCAGTCTCTTGGATGGTCATCTGTGGTGCCTTGGGTTTGGCAACACCCTGCATTCCATTTCAAGCTTAGTCTGAATCCTAGCTCAGAAGACTGGTCTGATGATTCTGAGTGGATCGCTCATCTCCTCCGCGAGGCATGGAGGTGGCATTGGTGGCAAAAGTACATGGCATCCCAACGTCATGAACTGGTTGAATTTGGGGATAGGGAGTACCCAAAGTTGCTTCTCGAAAACACTCGGAAAATGACTTCGGGTGCCAATAAGAATGTTATTGCTGTTTTGACGGGTGCATTTGTGTCTCCGCAGATGCGGACAAAGCAGGCTGACGATGTTCAGGAAAAGTGTCCGTGGTGTGACGGCTGTGGTCATTTTCATCATGTGGCATGGGAGTGTCAAAATTCTCCTCAGGTGCGAAGTCGCCCGGTTATTCCTCAGGATCCATTAGTGCGAAGATTTGGTTGGGGTGATAATCAGGTGGTGCAACATTTGGCTGCTTGCCGTGACCTGCTCCTGAGGTGCAGGTACGGTGGCAACTAAGGTGGCAGTGCTTTGCGGGTGGTGGGCCCTCTGCTGCGTGGTGCAGCGGAATGGTGCGGCTTTGCTGCGCCGAGTGGCCGCTGCCGTTGTCTATGCTGCTGCAGCAGCGCAAGGAGAAGGAGAACGAGTTCTACCTTGGGGGCATGCGCAACCCAGATGTATCAGTCTCCAAGCTGCACATGGTGGCCAGCATGGGCATGGACATCAGCAGGGCGTGGAACAGGTTCATCAAGGACAACCCGAAGGCCCTGGACATTGCAGTGACTTATGGGGGGCCTGACTGCAAACCCGACCTGGAGACGGCCAACAATTGGAGGGCCGCTTTGGAAAAGATGCTGAAGGCCAAGGAGTTCGAGGACGTCATCATCAGGGAGGACTATGAGTTCCGAACCCCGCTCAACACCAAGTTGCTGGCGGCCTGGCAAAGGGCGACCCGAGACCCGGAGGTGCATGTGGTCGATTGGGCGCGTCGTGGGGTGCCCTTGGGCATGAACAAGCGCATCGACACTTGTGGCATCTTTCCAGCAGCCCGGGACGAGTACATGGAGCATGGTGATGCACCGCCCCTCGAGCTGATGGAGAACACCCGTAACTACACCAGCTTCTACGACCTGATGGATGCGGCCAAAGAGGAAATCGGCCGATATGTGGACAAGGGCTTTGCCATCGTCAGGGACATGGATTGGATCGCTGGCAGATTCAGCTCAGGCACGGTTTCCAGAATGGGGCTCATTCAGAAGGTCAAGGACGATGGGAGAGTGAAGAACAGGGTGATAGTTGACATGCTCCGCTCTGGCGGCAACTCAAGGAGCTCAGTGCCTGAGAGGTTGATCCTTCCCCGCGTTCAGGACGTGCTGCAGGGCGCAAGGAGGCTGTATTCATTCCAGGACGACCTGAAGGCATTGGCAGAACGAGAAGGGTGGATGCCAGAGAAGGAGGCTGACCTCCACAAGTGGGAATTGGTGGGAGCAGATTTGGCAGACGCCTTCTGCCATTTTCCGGTGGACAGAGATGAACTGTCAAATTGCATCTGCCCCGGGCTGGAGCCAGGCCAATTCATCTTGTACACGGCGCTGCTCTTCGGCTTCAAGGCAGCCCCACTTCTCATGGCCAGGTTGGCGGCAATGTTCACGCGCTTCCTGCAGAGCCTCTTGGCAAAGGGCGAGGGCGTCATTCAGACCTACATGGATGACCCGCTGATCTTGTTGGCGGGAACGGACGCCAGGAGAAACCGCACCCTGGCCTTGCTGCTCTACAGCATGTGGGCGCTGGGCATCAACATCGCCTATCACAAAGGCGAACGAGGGCTTCGAGTGACATGGATTGGGGTCGTCTTCGAGCTGGACTTGGAGCGGGAGGTGCTCAAGCTGACGGTGTCCCGCAAAATGGCGAACGAGCTTCATGAGAAGCTGAAATCCTGGGAAACAGGCATGATCAGCCTGAGAGACCTCAGGGCGACGACCGGAAGACTCAGCTGGCTGGCCGGGATCCTTCCGAGATGCAGGTGGGCCGTTTCCATCCTCTACGCCGTGGTGGCTGCAGCCGAAAAAGACGCAAGAGACGGCACGGAGGAAGCAAGGGCGGCCAACAGGCCATCGGATCAGAGGCCAAAGCCCTTCCTGGTCCCTGCCGCCCGGGTCAAGTTACCACGCCAATGGCTCGTGACGTTCCTGGAGCGGGCCGAGCAGTTTATGCTGCGCACGGAGGCGTTCTACCCCATGCACCCGGACCTGGCCATCATCACTGACGCTTCTCCCCAAGGTGTAGGAGCAATCCTCTGCTACGTCAACTTGGGCCGTGGGGAACTTATCCCATGGGCAGCAATGGAAGCCCCAGTGCGCAAGGAAGACACGGACTGGCTGGGGCTGGAGTTTGGTGAGGCCTCTTCACAAGGGGCCCTCGAAGCATGGGCAGTGCTGCTGGCGGTGCACATGTGGAAGACTCGCCTGCGGCAAGTGCCACTGCTCATCAAGTCTGACTCGACGGTGGCGCTGGCAATCGCGCAGAAGCTGTCTAGCCCCTCCCCCACAGTCAATTGGGTAGGGGCTGAACTGGCGTTGCGCCTCGAGTGGCTGGACGTGCCCAAGCTCATCGTGCACCACTTGCCGGGGCGCTTCAATGTAGAGGCAGACTGGCTCTCGCGACCACACGAGCGCCCAGCCGAAGTGCCATGGGCGTTGCGAGGAGTCAAGATTCAGAAATTCGAAGGGGAGGCCAGGCGGCGTTCCCAAGTGCCGCCCCCCGGCGTTGCCCCCCAGATGTGGGGTGCCAAATCTGAGACCATCTTGCAAGCTTTCGAGAGCTTGTGACAGACCTGCAGCTGGCAAAATGGAGCATGGCTTCACAGCTGCGGACGTTGTCTGGTCACCAGTGATAGCTGCTGAGATAGATGGTCAAGAATTTGTATCAGGTTTAGGCATCAAGCTTGCATGTCCGCAGCCATTTGGGAAATCCAGCAACATGGAGTTGGTAGCTACGGAGTCGCTACCTGCCACGGCCGACAACGACTGGCCATGGGCGCTCCTTTTCGTGCTGGTGGGTTGGATGGGCCTTCTAATGGCCCTATGCAAGGGCTGCTGCAAGCTCTGCCTGACACTACAGGCCACGCGCAGAGCAATGGAGGGAAGCCGGGCGTGGGAAGATCAGACATGCCCTTGCTGCGGTACATGTGTGGGGAAGCCTTCTCGCTCCACCCAAACCTCGCCGGTGGCAGCAGGAGGCCGAGAGGGGGACCTGTGGCCAAAGCAAAGGTCAACAACACCAGAAAGGCGCTGCACATACCCAACTCACAAAGGCAGCCCAGATCTCGTCAAAGCCATGGCATGCAGGGCAAGGCCGATCATGTTGGATATGGGGAGAGAGGCCTCAAGGCCACCTGCGGTGCACCCAAGTTGTCCAGTTGGACGATGACAGGGGCTGTTAACGTGGACCCCATGAAGTGGGAAGGGGTCAAGGAATCGAGTAACAGACCTAGAGAGCAGGAGACGGAAGGGAGCAGCGAGGGTCATGGACGGGCTGAAGGTGCTCCCAGGGTAGATGGCAGAAGAAAAGGCTCTATGGAAAAGGCCTTCGAAATAGCAAGCAACAGTTCGGACCTCAGGAAGGCTGTGGAGGGCCTCACAAAGAACTTTTGGGCCAAAAGTACCACCGCGGTCAAAAGGTCGCGGAGACAGGAGGTGCTCAAGTTGGCCGAGATGGTTATGGGGCGGCTCCCAGTCTTCCCCCTAACAAAAGGGGGGGTAGAAGGCGTAGCAGCGGCATTAAAGGCAGCTGAACTGGCTTCTGGGGACCAGTATCTCAACGAGCTGAAGCTGATGCACGTGGAGGCAGGTCACCCCATCGAAGCCTGGCTGATGAGGGTGCTAGCGCTGTGCAAGAAGTCGCTCACAAGGAACAGAGGCCCTGTGAGAGGTGACGCTGGAATCTATACCATGGACGGCCTGGAGTTTAAGGGGAGGCCACAAAGTGCCGCTGGCCACGTTGGCTTTTGCCTGGGGCGTGGCTTGGATGCTCCGGGAGATCGAGCTCTCACGAGTCAAATGGGAGCATGTCTCATGGGACATGGTCAAAAGGACCGTGAGGCTGTATATTCCGCAGTCCAAGGCGGACCAACAGGGCCTCGGAGTGGCCAGGACGCTACAGTGCTGCGGGGAATCACCCTGTTGGAGGGGGTGTGCCTGGTCCCTCCTGGTCAAGCTGAGACAACTTCGAGGCCAACTTGCTGCAGGCGATGGTAACTGCGGGATGTTCCTGAACAACAAGGGCTCGACGCCGACAAAGAAGGAAATGGTGGACAGTTGGAAGGAGCTGTTCAAGGTGGATGTGGCCGGCCACTCGGCCAGACGCACTGGAGCTATGGCGTACGTGCGGCGGGGCATGTCCATCAGAGACCTGGCCTACTTGGGCAGGTGGAAGTCGTCGGTCGTGTTGGTGTACGCGGAGGAAGCGCTGGAATCCACACCGGCAAACAGAGGCCTCAAAGCCCCTGAAATACAACGACCGATGGTGCAGAAGGAGACGCAAGAAGCTGGAGACAGAACCCCGGCTAGGCAGCGTGCACAAGTTGAAGAAGCTCCTTGCCCGCTGGTCAGACCCAAAGCAAACTCGCTATGGGTGAGGTCCACAGAAAGGGGTGGCAACGGTCCACTGCATCTGGTGGAGAATGCCGATTGGAGCATCCCCATGTTCCAGTGGACGTCGGCATGCGGGTGGGCATTCGCAAAAGCCTCAACACACGTGGCCTTCGTCACGAACCCTGGGTTTTCGTCCACAAGATGCAGGAAGTGTTCGACCATGGCAAAGCTGCGCGACGAGGTCAAGGAGGGTGTCAGGCCTGCGCAGCTGATGGCAGCTGACATGCTGCAACTGAGCAAGGCTGATGGCACCAGGACCCCAAACTGGAAGCGCAGCAGGTCCAACATGCTGCAGACTCCGCCCAGACAAAAGAGCTGAAAGCTTAGGGTGGAGGGTGGGCATGGAAAAACCCACAACGGAACTGTCGTGAAAGTTTGCCTGCAAACTGCATGACAGTGTAGTAAAGGTTTAATTAGGGTGGAGGGTGGGTCCTGCCGGAGTGATGGCCCAAATGCCGAGCTCCCAGGGATCAAAATTTCCCACCCACCCACACCTTGGATATTAATTCGAGGTGGAGGGTGTCAGGCCTGCGCAGCTGATGGCAGCTGACATGCTGCAACTGAGCAAGGCTGATGGCACCAGGACCCCAAACTGGAAGCGCAGCAGGTCCAACATGCTGCAGACTCCGCCCAGACAAAAGAGCTGAAAGCTTAGGGTGGAGGGTGGGCATGGAAAAACCCACAACGGAACTGTCATATCTTAATATGCAAAACACACTCATTTTATCCAAATTGGGGTTTTGAAGCAACAAATACTGGGTTTGTAATGATTACCAAACACAGATTGGGGCGGCAAGTAGACAATGTGGGAGGATAGGGCAGCATGACAGATCAGGGTCATTTTCGCAATCGAAACAAGCTCTTTTTATTCAGCACCCCAAAAAAGACTTGACCCATACCCACCTGCCACATGATTGTGGCAGGGTGCCATGTCTGGGTTACCACTTCAAGTGGTGCCACCGGAGACTTGAGGACACCTCGATTCTGCACTTAACAAGATCTGGGTGAATTGTAGCGACTTCACTACAGACAGCACCATAAACCTCCCAAAACGACATTTAAGAAGTTGAGGAATTCTCATGTTTCAGCCAGAGTACGATAAACATTACTCCAACATCAGTTATGGATGCATACAACTATACACATCCACATATCATACGTATATGAAAAAAACTACCAGTTGTTAAGATCCATTAGGATCCTTTCTTCAAACATCTCCTGACATCTCCTAGAAAAAGAGAGCACTCGAACTACGCCGTTGCAAAAAGGCGCCTTGCCAGGCGGGGCTTGGCTACGCTCGCGCACGGTATCGTTTTTTTCTGTTTTCCGGATGTTCCATTGTAAACCAGGCCAGCTATGGTACCTCCATTTATGGAACCCCCATAGAAATGTGGTCAAAATTGATTACCAATGATACTGTGAACATCATTTCAACATCAGAAAAGTGGTGAAATGTTGCTTCGTTGGGAAGTTCGTTAAATATTTTTAAGCCAATTTCAGAGCCCGCTAAGGGCAAACTGGAATCCCTTCCCGGATTCAGCCCTTGAACACCCCCCCAAAGGAAAGCATGGCGGCGCTTAAGAAACGCATGAATTTCTTGCTGAATCCGATGGAAGGTGAGGTAAACATGGTTCATTGGGCTTAAGTATGATTAATTTGTGGTATTTTGGATGCGGAAAGATTTGATGCCTAGCTAGCCATCAAGTTTTTCTTGCATTAGGGATTTGTCTGTTGAATCATCTTTTCTTTATCCATGACCATTGTCGCCGTCAGTCTTTCCGGATGTCAATCTTTCCGGATTCGCTGATGACACCTGAGTTTCTACCTTTGTTATTCCACCCTTGGGGGCATTCATTTTTTCGGCCATCTTCCCATCTTCATCAAATCCAAGCCTTCATTGTCCACAGCGTTCATATCCATACTGATCATGGCCTGCAGCAATGGATTTGGGTCAACACCCAATGGTCTCCTGAGATGGCAAATCATGAGGTAAACTCAACCATAAAGATCCATAAAGCCTAAACCATGCCCAACATTTAGGTTTATTCTTGGCTTTCCCACATTCATCCCCAACTGAGTGAAAAGAGTGAAGAGATTCAGAAGATTTTTGATGTTTTTCCTCTCAGCTGCCTTAGCTCGAGATCAGCGTGTTACGCATGTTATGGCGTGTTGTGGAGGTTTTCCAGCCTAAAATGGGGATACCCCCAAGGCCCCAAATCATCCAAAGTTGACCATATTTAGTATTGAAACTAATTGAAACCTATGGTGACGACTGGGGATTCCCGTTTGGACTAAAGTGGAAGAAACCCCCTATATTTTTGTGCCACATTCCGGACGAATTCCCAGAAAATTTCTTGATCAAAGGCAATGTCAAGACGGGCTACCAGCTACCCTCTGGTAAACTAACAGTTTGCTATGGAAAATCACCACTCTTAATGGGAAAATCAACTATTTCGACTGGGCCATTTTCAATAGCTTTTTGTATGTTTACCAGGCCGGGTAATCATTTTCAGTTATGAAACTTATGATAGCCAGCTTTGTCTGATATGGTGCCCCTTGGTGCCCGTTGGTGCCCCTTGGTGGCCCGGCCCGGATTATCATCATCCCCATGATATGACATTAAACGATATTAGGTGTCTATTTTTTGGGAGTTTTTGATGTGCCCAATAACAAAGTCCGTCCCCCAAAATCACCATTTTTACTGATGGTTGGAAAAACACCCAGTCAGACGGTAGGTCGTGACCTCACTGCGCCCTCACTGGAGCTTCGATTTGGGGGAATCCAGTGACTAGTGAGCTCTACATAGCTATACTACCAATGTGGGTAAAACTGGCTGTCATGTTTACCATCCCGCAGGGAAAACACCATGATAGGTGGTAATTATAGAATGCCATTCCAGTCATGGGTGGTAAGAATTCATGGCATTGTTTTACCCACATACGAATTTACCACGGTGCCATCGCCTGCCATCGCTCATGGGAACAGCTTTTTGGAGCGTGGACTGATGTAGGGGATCTCAGTGGAGACCAGGCTACCTGAGTGAAGATATGACATGATATGACCCTCTGGTTATTTGTCACACTTTTGCAAAGAAGCCATGGCCTACAGAAATAGGAAGAAATAGCTACAGGTGATTTATATTGATTTATGATGGTAAACACCGTTTTTAAAACCTACCTTAAAAACTGTTTAACTGTCGCTATATGGAATTATGATTGGGATATGGATATTGAAACTGGAAATCGTGGCTCGCCAACGGCAAAACACACCGCTTTTTGGTCGCTGGCGATCTGATGTACCTTGATTCGCATTGTGGTTAAACAGGGGTTGGTTTGCCTGTCCCATTTTGGGTATATTGGACATCACCGAAAAAAGTAGCCATTATAGACCATATACCTAATGGTTGGGTGATGTTCAATGGGGACATTTAAATTACTGTACTTCGTGTGATCCCCACCATGACATTTATACATTTTCTTACTGGCAAATCTTCTGGCATTCTATCTGACATATCTTCTGGCATTCTATCTGGCAAATCTTCTGGCATTCTATCTGGCATATCTTCTGGCATTCTATCTGACATATCTTCTGGCATTCTATCTGACATTCTATCTGGCATATCTTCTGGCATATCTTCTGGCATATCTTCTAGCATATGTTCTGGCATATCTTCTGGCATTCTATCTGGCATATCTTCTAGCATATGTTCTGGCATATCTTCTGGCATTCTATCTGGCATTCTATCTGGCATATCTTCTGGCATATTATCTGGCAAATCTTCTGGGATTCTATCTGGCATATCTTGTGGCATTCTATCTGACATTTTATCTGGCATTCTATCTGGCATACCTTCTGGCATTCTATCTGGTATTCTATCTGGCAAATCTTCTGGCATATCTTCTGGCATTCTATCTGGCTGAGGTCCAGCGGTGCACACTGAGCTGGGCAGGTCCCCGGTTGAGGTCCAGCGGTGCACACTGAGCTGGGCAGGTCTCCAGCGGCGCACACTGAGCTGGGGCTGTTGAGGTCCAGCGGTGCACACTGAGCTGGGCAGCAGGTTGAGGTCCAGCGGTGCACACTGGCTCAGCCCAGGTTGAGGTCCAGCGGTGCACACTGAGCTGGGCACTGAGGTTGACGTCCAGCGGTGCACACTGAGCTGGGCAGGTCCCCGGTTGAGGTCCAGCGGTGCACACTGAGCTGGGCAGCTCGCAGGTTGAGGTCCAGCGGTGCACACTGAGCTGACTGAGCTGGGCAGCTCGCAGGTTGAGGTCCAGCGGTGCACACTGAGCTGGGCAGCTCGCAGGTTGACGTCCAGCAGTGCGCACTGAGCTGGGAAGTTGGCGAAGAGCTTGGTGACGAGTTGGCAAGGTTGGCAAGGCGGAAGTGGAGGTGGAAGAGGCGGAGGCGAGGAGGAGGGCGAGGAGGACAGCTAGTCGAGGAGGAGGAGGAGGAGGAGGCGGAGGAGGAGGAGGAGGCGGGCATGCGCTCTGATAAAATCTAACAACCCTCACCTGGCAGGTGGGGAAAAACTGCTTGGTGGTTTGGAACATGCATTTTATTTTTTCCATATATTGGGAATAATCATCCCAACTGACGAGCATATTTTTCAGAGGGGTTGAAACCACCAACCAGAAAATGTTAAACATGTGATGACCCATCTTGATGATATCCGCAATAGCTTGAAAAGCGAAGCCAGATTCCATCTTGACAGACATGCACATGAAAATGGAATGGCGCAAGCGCAAACAGCCTCTCGGTATTTCGCCCCAATGAGATCTCAACATGCCCCATTCCGCCATAAATTTTTATGGGATTTTCCCCAGCAAAATCATCCCCAAGGATCCAAGGATCCAAGGCTGATTTTCAGTATTTTCCCCACAGCCAGATGCTCAACTTATTTGGAATCACGGCCATGATAAATATGATATGCATATGTCATGAATTAGTATGATGTATGTGTAATATGTGTAATGCAATGCATATACATAGAACATACAGTGTATCAGTGTGTACCTATGAATTCACGTATAATTAGCATAGATATAAGTAGCATAAATATACATCGTACATCTTTATGTAAATATACATGTACCGATACACGTATTCGGGAAATACCCCAACATTTGCGAGTGATCTTCCATGATTTGGCTTGCCCAAAGCAATTGCAAGTTTAAGAGAGAACAGTATGGTATATAGACCACATGTGATTCCAAATTTTGAGACAACCCAACCACATGTAATTATACAATATTATACAATATGTAATGTATATATGACAAGCAAACGCATTATACATATATATATATACATACATATCTGATTGGTGGTTTGGAACATTTTTTATTTTTCCGTATATTGGGAATTTCATCATCCCAATTTTCAGAGGGGTAGGTATACCACCAACCAGATTATTAACCATCATTAACCATCATTAATCACTATTAATCATCATTAACCACCATTTTTTGGCAGATAGAAACCATCCATACGCACAGTACACCTGCCTCCATAGTTCTATCCTACCTGCCTCCAGTAGATCGTCCCAGGTCCGGAAAGCTCAAGGGCATTTATGATGCACTGGACCACGGACAGTACAAAAACGTCGGGAGCTAAAGGGCCGCCGTCGGGAGCTAAAGGGCCGCCAACGGTCCGCTGTGTAAGTATTGTTACCCATATTTTTTTGTAATATTGGAACGGCCCGGCACATGTATTTTTTTTGCAAAC